TCATTGTGGTGGAAGGTGGGAACAGATGGTGATGCTAAATGGAAAAGGGTAATGTCCAAAATACACAAATTAATAGGGACTTGGGCAGCCACTGGGACTCAGGACTTGTTAAAGAACGATTCATGGGGGTTAAGGTGGAATGAATGGAGACAACTGAAGCCCGTGTTTTCAGTGACAACTGCCCCTCACCCTGATGGACAAGCCTCGGTCAGGCTCTCAGTGACAGAAGTGTGGGAGGAACTAGTCAGACGGGTTTGTTGCGAGGACATGTGGTAGACTGAGGCAGGTTCAGCTCTGCTGTGCGTTAATTCATGCAGGCAGGCACCGCACCAGACAGCATGTGCTACACAGCCCACTTCTCTGCCCCTTCACTCTTCCTTCGACCATGGTCTTGCTCACAGATGCTCCCAGACCTTCCCCTCTCAGACAGAACCCAAGATTCCTGCCTGGTCCCTCGATGTCTGTTGAGCTCCCTGCTTACACCCCCCACCTCTTCCTCCCACCAAATCTCTTGGAGGTCTTCATAGGCTGCCTCCACGTCTTTGCTACCCCACCTGCTAAGCCCTTGTCTTTAGCTTCTCAAACAATACCACTTTTACCAATGACTTTTTTTTTTTTAAGTAAACTTTACACCCAATGCAGGGCTTGAACTCATGACCTAAAATCAAAAAGTCAAAGGCTCCACCAACTGAGCCAGCCAGATGCCCCTACAAATGGTTTCTTCTTCTTCAAGTTTATTTATTGAGAGAGAGAGAGAGAGAGAGAGAGAGAGCGAGCGAGCTGGGGAAGGGCAGAGAGAGAGAGGGAGAGAGAGGATCCCAAGCAGGCTCTGCGTTAACAGCACAGAGCCCAATGCGGGGCCCGAACTCAAGAACGATGAGATCATGCTGAAACCGAGAGTCAGTCCCTTAACCGACTGAGCCACCCAGGTGCCCCCTACCAATAGCTTCTTAATCACTGGACCCAGAGGCTCTGGCTCAGCCCTCACCATTTTTTTTTAAATGGTGCTACAATAATTAACAGTGATGTTGAAATTCCTTCCCTTGGGTCCCAGGGCCCAGCACTATCCTGGTTCTTGGTCTGGTCCACTGGTCCGGTCCACTGTCTCCCCTTCCTACTCGTTCAATATATATACATTTTTAGACACTTGAAGATTCTGCTCTCATTCCTCAGAGTTTGCACCTTTCTATTCTCTCCTCAGAAATCAGTCACTCCCAGAGCTTCCTGCTGTCTCCTCCAACGCAGTAAAAAGGTCCAACTCTCTCCATTCTGCCCTGAATCCATCTCACCAGCTTGTCTTGGGCTTTCAACTGCCTTCTGACCATTTCTCCTCAACTACACACCAGAACCCCAGATTCATAGTTCTAATATCTGATCTTCCTGTCTTCGTTAACCTTGTCAACATTATCCGTGTTAGCCAGATTCTAAACTCCAACATCATCTCCTTCCCTGATGTATAAGCGGTCACTGTGACCTATAACATTCTCCCCTGGAAGGTCTCTCGTATTTATCTCTCCTCCCCATTTAACTTCCAATAACACCTTAGCTCAGCCCTCTTTCATCTCCTAAAATACTGCAATTGTTTTTAGCTGATCTTCTTGCCCCTCAACTATCCTTTGCAATCCAGCATGCACTGCACTGGGAGAGCATTCTCCATGTATATCTCGTATTCCTGCACTGACTGAGGTCCCTGAGCACAGGCATTTACACCAATTTAAGAATATTTACATAAGGAGACACTCCAAGGTAGTAAAGCCTGGAGAGACCTCTCCCTCCCAAGATGTTCCAGGGTGGTAAAGATAAAGACCCTGCCTTTCCTCCCCAGAGATCTGTTTACATTCTGCGTAAAGATAAACACTCTCCGCAGAGAAGTAGGAGCAGGTCACCAGCAACTCCATATGAGATGGGAGCCTAAGTGTGCAGTTCCTCACCGGTAATGCACCCATTGCATGGGCAGGTACCAACGGGCCCTCCTCACTGTGTTGTCCTGTGGCACGTGGGGGAATCAATCAGGATAATTTATTTCTTTTCCAGGTAGACCCTGTGTTCTAGTCAATCAGGATGTGTTTCCCAAAACACAGGCATACATATCCTTCCTCCGCGCCCTGGCCATGCCTAGAATGCTATACTTAGATTGCAGATGAGGGGGAAAAACCAGGAGGCACCAGTGCACAACACGCCCACGGTCAACTCTGAGAAACAGTGAGCCAGACCACCGATTTCTTTATGTATGTTGCCATGGCCCCTTCTAGGTGCACTGGTGGGAAATCAGCCTGGCCATAACCAACTGAAGACCAGTGCGGCAGCCCCTGGTGACCACAGTCCAGTTGGACATCGGGGAGCTGAAGTGCCCTCTGGGAACGCTTAGCTTGAAACACTGTTGAACCGGGAGCTCTGCATTTGATGGTGTCCAACAAATCCAAACATTTCCTCCCCTCTGAGAAAGTTAAAGGGGTAAGAAGAGGCAGCTCAGGTTCCAGTGTGAATAAGTGAGTTGTAGTTTCAGTTCTCCGTGAGGCTCTATTTTCCAATCCTAGCCTCTGCCACATTTCTCGGTATTCGTGCAGCAAACTCCCTACCAAAGAGAATACGGGCATGTGTCTTTCTTGCAGGCCTCAACCTTAATCCAAGTGCCCCCCTCACCGATCCCTAAGGTAAGTATACACAGATGCTAGTCAAAGAACTCTGTGCAAACGGCAAAACAGAAACATACCCATTAATATGAGCTGGTTCAATTATCGTATTTCATCATGAATTATAAGATACATCCCAATTTTGGGGCACCTGGGTGGCTCAGTTGGTTAAGCGTCCGACTTCAGCTCAGGTCATGATCTCACGGTCCCTGAGTTTGAGCCCTGAGTCGGGCTCTATGCTGACAGCTCAGAGCCGGGAGCCTGCTTCCGATTCTGTGTCTCCCTCTTTCTCTGCTCCTCCCCTGCTCACTCTGTCTCTCCCTCAAAAATAAATAAACATTTAAAAAAAAAAAAGATACATCCCAATTTCACAGACATAAAATATCAATAAAATAGCCCACAGTGGTTTTATGTCATTGGTCATTCTAATATGGGGGGAAAAATGTGCACTTTTTAAAAAACTAAGGTACGGTGCATTCATACAGAGGACTCTTCTGCAGTTGGGACAGGTATAATAAGAGCTGTGGGAGGGACATTTCCTTCAGGACAGAGGGTGGGAGGAAACCAGAGCAACGACTCCATGCATCGGGTCATATACCTCAAGTTGCCACAAATGGAGATGTACCTGGTGTTACCTGTAAAAGGCTGCGCTTGAAAGGCAGACTTGATTTTATTAAACTAGGTGATGGACATATGGGTATATATCTTAGTATTATTATACATTTTTGTACGTCTAAAATATGTTATAATACATTTTCTTTAAGCGGGCCTAGCCACCTGTTTTGCTGCCCCTGTTCTTTGGGAGACCCTGTGTCCAACGAGAGCTTAAAAAGTCAATTCCATAAACAAAAGAGTTGAAGGAACTATTCGCTGTCTCTTATTTCCACTTGTAAACTGTTAGGAAAGAAAGAATTTCGCATTCCAGTAACATCTGGTATGTGCACATATCCAACTGATAAACATTTAGAAACCTAAATAATTATGAAAGATCTTGCTTTCTCCTTTCTTAATACTATAGACTCTGGTTTCACATCAACCACAGGTCTGCCTAGATTTAAGCAAGGTCAAATTTGCAAGAAAGCTATTTTGGCATAGTTATTAAAAAAAAAAAAACTTAGGGGCGCCTGGGTGGCTCAGTCCGTTAAGCGTGCGACTTCGGCTCAGGTCATGATCTCACGGTCGGTGAGTTCAGGCCCCGCATCAGGCTCTGTGCTGACGGCTCAGAGCCTGGAGCCTGTTTCAGATTCTGTGTCTCCCTCTCTCTCTGACCCTCCCCCGTTCATGCTCTGTCTCTCTCTGTCTCAAAAATAAATAAACGTTAAAAAAATATTAAAAAAAAACAACAACAACAAAACTTAAAAGTGTGTGCATAGGGGCGCCTGGGTGGCGCAGTCGGTTAAGCGGCCGACTTCAGCCAGGTCACGATCTCGCGGTTCCTGAGTTCGAGCCCCGCGTCGGGCTCTGGGCTGATGGCTCAGAGCCTGGAGCCTGTTTCCGATTCTGTGTCTCCCTCCCTCTCTGCCCCTCCCCCATTCATGCTCTGTCTCTCTCTGTCCCCAAAATAAATAAACGTTGAAAAAAAAAAAAAGAAAAAAAAAGTGTGTGCATAGTGGAAGGGGGCATTTCAATAGAATTCCCTTAAATACTAACCTCCTCGCTATTTATAAAGTGGTTTGAATTTTGAGGGACACGATTCTCAAAGCCCGGTTTGATACCAAGGGTGCAAGCTCTGGAGCCAGACTCAAGTCAGAACTCCAGGTGGGTGGCACGGTGAAGTCACCTAACTTCCCAGGGCTTGCTTTCTCCTCTGTAAAATAGGGTCAATAAATAAGTTACAGGGTATTGTAAAGATCAGAAATATTAAACACAGCGCTGTGCCTGGCATACAGTCATTACCCAAAACATGGTGATTACTTTTAGGACACCGGGCTTTTTTGTTTTGGTACAGGCTCGCGGACTTTGCGCAGTGCGCCTCCTCATCTCTCCTTGCTCTCTTTGGAGCATTCAAAAACTCTCTCGCTCTCCATTAGTTTCAGTTCAAATGTGCAGGTTACAAGTCAAGAAAGCCAAGGCCTTTGGGCTGCTTATAATCAAACTAACATAACAGTACAGAAATAATTTTCAGAGATTTTCTGTTCGCTTGTTTTTAATTTGGTAGAGGAACGGCTGCGCCCCCTGGGAAGATGCGCTTTCTACGGACTAGGGAACCGAGAGGGGGTGCAGCATCGCGGCCTCCAAGCACCTTCGGGGTCTCCGCAGACCTCCCGCCCCAGGGCTTGGGGCGGCCAAAGGGTCTCCCGGTCCTCTACCGGAAACTCCCGCTACCGGGGAGGGGAGGGTCCCGAGAGCGGCGGCGTCCGCACTTACCAGGGCGAAGTGCACCAGGGCGTCATAGCACAGCCAGGCGAGCACGCCGCGGTCCGCCGCCGCCCGCCCGCGGCCCAGGCGCAGGCCCAGCGCGCAGCCCGCGACCAGCAGCGCGGCGCACAGCAGCAGCGAGCGCCCCGCCGCAGCCCCCAGCTCCCAGCCCGCGCCCATGCTTCCGGCGGCAGCCGGGAGAGCCAGGAAAAGGGGGGGGAAGCCGAGAAGGGGCGGAGCGGGGCCGCCGGGGAGGGGCGGGGCCGCTCGGTCTGGGCGGGCGGGTGAACGGCTTCCCTTCCCGTCTGGCGTCCCGGCCACCCAGCTGCGCCCGGAGCTTTTCAGAAGAGTGAGGATCTTGCTCCGCGAAGTCGCCCAACTGCCAGAACCAAACCTGTTCCCAGCCCAACACCAAGCGACTGGTAGTAGAGCCACATTTTCTGATGCGGTTTGATTTTCCACAAGGTTCAAAACCTTAAGCAACAAAGTGAAGTCCAAAATGTTAGAAATTTGGCCCGTAGACTGGGAAGAATTTTAGGGAGCAAAGAGTCTAATTAGGATCCTGCAAGTCTTGCAGGAGAGGTGAGGGCCAAGGGCATTTTCAGCCACCAGCAGGCTTTTTAAAGCTGTTGTGGCTTACTCTGACCCTTTTTTTTCCCTCGCTTCCAAGGGATTTTTAATTTTTTTCTGTAATGTACTAATTTTTTATAATTTACATCCTAGTTAGTTAGCATATGGTGCAATAATGGTTTCAGGAGTAGATTCCTTAAGCCGCTTACCTATTTAGCACATTCCCCCCTCCCACAACCCCTCCAGCAACCCTGTTTATTCTCTGTATTTAAGTGTCTTATGTTTTGTCCCCCTCCCTGTTTTTATATTATTTTTGTTTCCCTTCCCATATGTTCATCTGTTTGGTCTCTTAAAGTCCTCATATGAATGAAGTCATATGATATTTGTCTTTCTCTGACTAATTTCGCTTAGCATAATACCCTCCAGTCCCATCCATGTGGTTGCAAATGGCAAGATTTCATTCTTTTTGATTGCCGAGTAATACTCCATTGTATATATGTACCACATCTTCTTTATCCATTCATCCCAATTGCCGGGTCATACGGTAGTTCTATTTTTAATTTTTTGAGGAACCTCCATACTGTTTTCCAGAGTGGCTGCACCAGCTTGCATTCCCACCAACAGTGCAAAAGAGATCCTCTTTCTCTGCATCTTTGCCAACATCTGCTGTTGCCTGAGTTGTTAATGTTAGCCATTCTGACAGGTGTGAGGTGGTATCTCCTGGTTTTGATTTGTATTTCCCTGATGATGAGTGATGTTGGGCATTTTTTCATGGGTTGGTTGGCCATCTGGATTTCTTCTTTGGAAAAGTGCCTATTCATGCCTTTTGTCCATTTCTTCACTGGATTATTTGTTATTTGGGTGTTGAGTTTGATAAGTTCTCCAAAGATTTTGGATACTAACCCTTTATCTGATATGTCATTTGCAAATATCTTCTCCCATTCCATCGGTTGCCTTTTAGTTTTGCTGATTTTTTCCTTCACTGTGCAGAAGCTTTAGCAGCAAAAGTATGGGGCAGAAGAGCAATAGGTCATATTGGCTTGACACTAGATTCTTTTAACATTATCTTATCTAACGGCACTACAATCCTAGGAGGTCAATGTTTTCCTAGTTAACAAACAGGAAAACAGCCTCATACAAAGTAACTTGTCTAAGGACTCTCAGTGATAGCAGAAGCCAGAACCCATGACTGCATCTGAGGCCTTTGTGTTCTGACCCTGCACGCTGAATTCTTAGAAGGCAATTATAGCCCTCCTCTAATGAAGTGCCACTTTGTCCTGATCACATTAACCTTTTCTCTCTGCTTTTGCTAGCATCTTGTTTGCTTTTAACCTTCTCCCCTCTCCCTTCCTTAGGCCTCTGTTACTTAGAGACTTAGCACTGGAGAAAGGTGTCAGAGTTTAAAAAGACTTTAACTCCTGTTGACCAACCCTGTCTTTTCACTTTTGGATAGCCAGATAAAATACAGATGACCAGATAAACTTGAGTTTCAGATTAAAAAAAAAAAAAAAGAATGTTTAAATACTTAAAGTATCACTAGGGTACCTATGCTAAAAAATTATTCTTGTTTTCAAAGAGGACATTATGCTCAGTGAGATTAAGTCAGTCACAAAAACAGGACGAGTGTTATGATGTCATTTATATCTGGTATCTAAAGTAGTCATATTGCTAGATACAGAAAATAGAAGTTGCCAGAGGCTTGGGGGAGAATGAAAAAGGGGAGTTGTTTAATGGCTAGAGTTCAGTTTTGCCAAGATGAAAAAGTTATGGAGTATGGTTGCACAAAGATGTGAATATACTTAACACTGCTGAACTGTACACTTGAAAATGGTTAAGATGGTAGGGGCACCCGGGTGGCTCAGTCAGTTAAACATCCGACTTGGGCTCAGGTCACGATCTCGCGGTTTGTGGGTTCCAGCCCCACATGGGGCTCTGTGCTGACAGTTCAGAGCCTGGAGGCTGCTTCAGATTCTGAGTCTCCCTCTGTCTCTGCCCCTCCCCCACTCAGACTCTGTCTCTCTTTCTCAAAAATAAACATTAAAAAAATGGTTAAGATGGTAAATTTTATGTTGTGTGTATTTTACCACAATTTAAAAATATGATTTCTGGCACTGAGCACCTTTCTCCCCTAGTCATTCCTTGTATAATGTTTCATATAGCAGCTAACACCAGATAAATTATCTAATTTATTTACACACTTATTGCTAGTCTCTTGCCACTCAAGTATAAGCTCCACACGGCCAGGGACTGCAGGTATCCCTGGCACCTGTCAGAGTCTGGGATATAATAGCTGCTCAATTAAGTAAGTGCTGACTGAAGAAGAGAGTATGGTCCATCCTGTCACCTATGCTTTGGATTCTCTCTTGTAACTTAGAAAACTGACGATCACTCTTCTCATGTATATTCAGCAACTTTCTCAATTGGATTTCCCCTACCAATTTCCCCACTCATCCTTCAATGACCCTGACCTCCCCTTCAGAGCAAAATAAAAACCTGATCAATGTCTCCATACTGTGTCTCTACTCCTCAGTCCTTCCTAGTTTCCACCCTCATTGCCTCAGTGATCCAGCTCTAAGGTGATTGGTGACCTCCCTTATCACTAACCCAAAGGACATTTTCTGTCCTTGCTTTACTTGACTTCTCTACAGCATCAGTGGGCACCAGAATCTCTTTTCCCTCCGTTTTCTGAGGAAACACACAGCATTTTCTTTTTACCTCCCTATCCATACCTTCTGTTCCTTTTGCAAGCTCATCCTCCACTACATGCCCATTAACTCCACAGCACTGCCCTGATCCGTGTTTTCCTTCCAAATGCTGGACCCAGGCAGTCTCATCCTCACCCCCTGCACTAATAACCACCCAAACAGGCAGAGGGTTCAAATCTCTAGCTTAGCTCTCTCCTCTAAGCTCCAGACCAGTATTTCCAATTGCCCTACTTGACAATCATTTAGATGTCTCAACATAACCCAAACTGAACTCATCACCCTCTGTTCGCTATGTCTCAGTGTTCCCTATCTTGTGTTAACTTCCACTCATCAGTTATTGCAACTCAGAAACCTAGAAATCATCCTTGACACTTCCTGCTCCCCAAACTCCAGATCTAAGGCATCACCAACTCCTGTCTATTTTAGCTGCTGAGTATCTCTTGATCCCATCCACTTCATGGACCAAGTTGTTGAGCCTCTCTTGCCTCAGTGCTTCACACTCACTAATGTGACCTCTACACATCACTAACCCCAAGTACGTTTCCTGTCCTTACCTTACTAGGCAATGATTATTACACACGATTCTTCTGTCATCACTCTGTAATGATAATGTGTAATAATAACGATAATGAGTAGTGATTTCCCATTTCTCTTATAATGACTTACCAGCTGTGGGGACTGGCCCTTACCTATCTCTTTAGCCTCTCCCATGCCCCTAGTAATCCTGCTCCCCATCCTCATTTTTGTTCTAGTTATACCTGCTTTCTTTCACTCCCTTTAACTCGCCATGGTGCTTCCTGTATGCCTGAAGACATTGAAAGGACACATATAAATACAGTCTGATGAGGAAAAACTGGGCTGAAATTGGAAATATGGCACTTACACATTTTTTTAAAGTTTACTTATTTTGAGAGAGAGAAAGAGCATGAGCAGGTGGGGGTGCAGAGGGGGAGAGAGAGAAACCTAAGCAGGCTCTGTGCTGTCGGTGCAGAGCCCAGCGTGGGGCTCGATCTCACGACTGTGAGATCATGACCTGAGTTGAAATCAAGAGTTGGACCCTTAACCGAATGAGCCACCCAGGTGCCCCAGCACTTACAAATTCTCATATTTAGGTTTGGAAGTATAAATGCCAACCTACTGAGTCAAAGAGAGCTGATGACAAGGGGAGCTGAGGCTGTTACTTGATGATGTCTAATTATGATGAAGCTGGCAAAATAGAGAATATCTCCACAATAACAGAATTAAGTATCCAGGGGCACCTGGGTGTCTCTGTCAGTTGAGCGTCGGACTCTTGAGTTCAGCTCAGGTCATGATCTTGCGGTTTGTGAGTTCAAGCCCCGCCTCAGCTCTGTGCTAATGGTGCAGACCCTGCTTGGGATTCTGTCTCTCCTTCTCTCTGTTCTTCTGCTTGTGCTCTCTCTCTCTCAAAATAAATAAACTCAAAAAAATTTAGAATTAAGTGTCCAGATAATGGAATGTTCCTATTCCACTGTACCCACAAACTAGTCACATCACAGTGTATTATTGGGGTCTTTGGGATGCACCATGTGACAGGAACCAGTTCCCAGAGTGGCTCTGTAAGCTGTTGCTTGGAATGCATGGGGTGTTCAGGTTGAGGAAGGCAACTGTTGAGAGCAGAGCTGCCTCTTCTGCTAACTAGGAGTAACAGAAAGTTTATTTATAAAGATGGTCATTTACGAGAGGCGCCGTTGGTTCAGTATTAAGAAAAGAGTTGGTAGCAAGTAATGCTACTCGACAGAGTAGAACAGGCTCACTTAGTGTTTCATCATTGCTTCTCCAACTCTCTGATTCCTACTCTTGACGCAATGTTTCCATAAAATGGCCTGCCTCAAAAATCTGATTTTATCTTTAAAACGTTATGCAAAATGTGTCCTTTACTCTGTAACGCTTAGGCTTGTATTACCATAAAACTGCTCTACTTATCATCAAGTAAAACTGCTGTCCCGTGAAGATATGCCTTGTTTGTCTTGTGCAATCACACATTACCTGGCAGAAGGCCACATTTATTTGGGCACCAGAGTTTGAAAAAAGAGATTTACTCGAGAAGGTAGATAGCAGTTTTGTTAGGGTATGGAAGAGGGATGTTGTAGAAGTTCCCTGCAGGGAATACATCCTTTGTAGCATGACTCAACGATAGTTCCGCTGCTTTGATCGTTTTGAATAAACTTGTAAGCTTCCTGATGGGGCCAGTCTCTCACAATGCTTCAAAGAAATGCTTTTCAGAATTATGTATGCTGTGATTTTCTGGTCCAACCCAGCTTTCCTAGAGGACTTAACTATCTCAACTAAAAATGTCTGAAAAACACTGCTACAAAGCAGTGTTGAGAAAACTGTGGGCAATCAACACATTTGCTTTATTTCACACACCTTGTTTTTTTAGCCACAGGATAAATTCAAGGTTAGTAGTTCCTCCATCTTCCCATTTCTCTGTTGCATAAGTCCTATGCAACAGATGGGGCTTAGTATTACCAGGAGTTCCTACAGATGGGTGACAGTGCTGACTCTGATCTCTCCTAAAATGGAGAATGAAGAAAAGGCATGTATTTGTCTCCCCATCTGACACACCTGAGCAAAGTCTAGGACTGTTTATACAACAAAAAGGCATGCTTTAGGCTGTCTCCCTTGAGTGGGGAAGTTTTCTACAGAAATTAATTCAGAGCAGTGGTTTGCACCTGGGCAAATTTGGCCCCCAGGGAACACGCGGCCATTCCTGGAGGCACTTTTGGTTGTCATGACTGGGTAGCATAGAGGTACTTAGTGGGTAGAGCCTAAAGATGTTGGTCAACATCCTGTAACGCACAGGACAGCCCCCAATAGAGCATTAGCCAACCTACGATGTCAATACTGCAGGGTTTGAGAAACCCTAATTTAGGTCAAAGTGAGTGAGTGAGGGGTTTCATGGGCAAATAAGGAGGCTAAGGAGGTGAACAGGCTACATTCTCACGTCCCTTTTCCCAAACACTTCCTTTCAGTATAGTACTGAGCGCCATCTGTACATCTAGGTAGATAAACACGTACACCCCTATTGCGATATAGACGTTTTTGAGAATCATTCTACCACTGATTTTTAGCTATGTAACGAAGTACAAAATTTATACAAAGAGTTCCTCTAGACATACGAGTGGTGGGTTACACAGAGCACTCGCTGGGTTATAGACCTTAAGACTTACAGCCTAATGTACAGAAATTATATTTCCTTTCTCCGAATAGATTAAGATCCCCCAGTACAACTAGAGTCAACAAAAATTCAGAACCATCACTGTAAGACAACTGACATTCATGAATTTTCACTTGCAATAATTAAATAATGAATCCCCGAAAAAGGACAACTGTTCTGAAGGAAATCTTGGCACGGTTACATAGAAGTACTATCACATTTATTTACTTGTACACTGACTTCTTTCAAAAATAATTTGAAGTGGCATTATACTAAAGTAAAAATATTTGTATACTCAAAAGTTCGGTTGCTCTTTTGTTCTTTTAATTAATCCAAGATTTCACTTAGAGCCACCACCTTGATCTCACAGGTTAAAATTTTCCAGTTTACTTCAATTACTATCTTCCACAGTTACTTGTTTTCAAGGATTAGACAGGCCATAAAGTGTGATTTTGTCGTTGTGGTTTCATGAGAGTCACAAGCACACCATTTTCTCACCAGGCCTTTCTAAGTCATGGTATTTGAACCTGAGGTATGCGCAGAGAATGCCACAGGACGATGATGAAAGCAGAGGCTCGAGGGACGCCAAGCACTGCCGGGGACACCAGAAGCCGGGAAGAGACAAAGAGGGGCCTCCCAAGAGCCCACGGACACAGCGCGTTGCACCCGGCAGCTTGATTTCCGACTTCCGGCCTCCGAAACCGTGCAACCAAAGGTTTCTGTTGTTTTAAGCCACCTGTTCTGCTGTACCGTGTGGAAGCTCTGGAAATTAATAAAGATTTAGGTATTTCTTATTTGTCATAAAATACTCTTAAGTCGAGCACTGCTATTGTCCTAGTTTGTTAGAGTGGAAGAGAGATACTAAAATACAACGAAAGAGTAATTCATGATTTGCCTCCACTGTAGTTGATGTTTGAAAAATAGTTCCAAATTTAAATTTAACCACGCAGAAAACAAAACTAGGAAATTAAGAAACTTTTAGAAATAAGTTCTTCAATGTTTTATCGGATTTGATAGCAGCTTTTTTTTATTGGTTACAAAACCTAAGCCCATATACAAAATTAGGAACACATTTAGATGCCTCTTTTGAAAGAACGTTTTAGTCTTTTTTAACTGAGTTTAAAAAAAATAAAAACAATGCGATTTTCAACACTGTTCTGAAAACTTAAAAGTGCAGCAAATATACTTAGTTTCCTTTGTCTAAGAAATGGTGCAATTCCAATTCCAAACTGATAAGGTCACAACAAATTGAATCAAGCAAATGCATACATATGTCTGCACTACTTGATGCTAATGTTCACTTATGTTAGTTTGCACTTAAAACACAAGAGGAAATCGGAATCGGCACAGTAGAGGCCTGATTTAATCTCAATGTGTGCAAAATTTAAAAGGTAACTGTCAGTAAGTAGGATGGAGAGTCCAGAAGAAACTAAACCAGGAGGGGTACAATTCACAATATCAAGAAGATTTGGACTTTAAGGGTTTCACCGAAGTTTGTGACCTTAATTGGCTTTGACTTTGTTATTCCTACTTTTAGTGAACACCACACAGTTTCAGAAATTTAGACTACAGTGTCTGAACAGGATGCAGTTACCATATGAAGCTTTAACTCAAAATTTGGATAAAGAAAAAAAGGCACAATGAACTTCAACTCAATTTTATGTGCACAAGAGTTGAAAAATCTGAGCCACCTTAAAGAGAAATTGATTCTAAAATTTATAAAACCTATAAATAATCAGAGGCCAAACCACTATATTAAAACAGATTCTCTAGCAAGTAAAAATCTTGCAGTTTAAACATACGCTTGTATCCATTTTGGATACAAGACAAAACTCACTCTTTAAAGTGGCTCCACCTTGGCAGATACATGTATTTGTAATGAATGCACACCTGCTATGTGTTGTTTATCAGTGAAAACACCCCAGCTGATTCACAAAGCTCTGATGGCATCGGTCTCATCTTCATCACAGTAAATACACCCCCATCGGATAACTACGTTAGTTTAGATTTTCTATCCCTTCACATCAACGCATTGGGAAATCATACCCAGTAAACAATAGCAACAAAACCATTTCTGTGACAGCACAAATCATTCAGTTTAAACATGTTCAAATCCATATTCTTTCATTAATAACTGGGTCAGATGACAATTTACCAAAAGCAATGACTTTACATAGTAATACCAGATTTTGCTTCAAGATCACTGCAAATCAGGTTTATGTCAAATAACTGCAGATTATTCCTCTACACAGATCCTTGACTGAATCTTTTAATATGTGAATATGCTTTTAGAGTAGGATCTGAATTAACTTTCCCAATACTCAAAGAATGAAGTTGTATAACACTTCTAAATAGTTGCTGGTTTGTTGCCAACCACATTATCAAAAGCACTGGTTACTAAGTAAAAAATATTTTAAGACTAAATTACAGTAAACATGAAGGCTCCACAGTTTAAACCCAATATAAATCAACCATATCCAATTATCAATTTAAAACAAAAAATATTAACTCCTGAAAGCTGAAAGCAAGATTTTTTTTTTTTTTTTTAAACATCACCAATCGGTACGTTAGACCTTTGCTTTTTGTTGTTGTTTTTTATTTGTTTTTTTCTTTGTAGTCAGGGACTCTTGCTTTCAACTTAAACAGAAGTTCAAGTCCGTAACAGGTTGCAGCTCAGGTAAAATACCATGCACAGCATTTGATTACTTCAAAACAGCAGGAACACACAGGCTGAAGTGAGTGGTCAAATAGGGCTTGCTGTTCTCAAAAATTAGGTATAATGGCGAAAGCATTACCATCCATAGCTAAAGTTCTTCCTCCAACCCTGGCTTCTGAGGCAGATAATAAACACATCAATTACTGGTAGATGAAGCACAGTTTTTTTAAAACTTAACTGTTTAATCAATAACCAAGTTTCTTTTTTTAAGTTCCTTTTTTTGTGTGTCAGTTCCACCAATGAAAATCATTTGGCTTGTACTTTAAAATCTATTCTTCCACATAAAGAATATGAAAATATGTTTGTGGAGGACAATGATGGAGGCTCAGATCAGACTGCACCTCTTTAAAGTCTTCCAACGTGTATATGCATCATACCGAAGTGTCTTGATCCACAGCGCACCATTTTCCAAAGGAGTATCAAGTGGGCAGCTGACATGCCACCACTATGGAATATTCTAAACTGGAACTGCAGTTGTCAGCGTGTGGCACCAGGGAACAGGGAAAAATAGGGTAGTCGAGATTGTTAAGGAGAATTCTAAAACAGTTCAGGAAATCATGCATATGCATTTACAGTCCATGTGATAGTAACTTTTGGCAACTGCAAAGTGACTGAGACATGGCTTGCTTTTAGAAGCATCAAAACGAAGAGGCATGTGTGTTTTGGAGCCTTTTGTTGTTCTTCTTCTTGTCATTTGGTAGCCATCTGGTGGTGCTTCGTATTGAATTGGGGAAGATGCTGCACTCAACTGAACTTAAAAATTAAATTCTTTTGTTTGAAGGTTGGCTGTTGGGTCAAAATTGTAAGTACCTCCTTGTGTTGCTTCAGGAATCAGGCTAGGATCTTCATCAATCTATAAAAAGCAAAACAAAAAAAAGGCCTTTGTTAAGATACTACATGTTATGGTATAAGCAGAACTTACTTCTTACAAGAGAATTCTGTACGGATGTTGTAATCGTTCTATATGATGTTTTAATCGATAAATTAAAATATTTAAGTAAATCAGTAACATTAAGAAACTTAACAATTTAATTAAACTGAACACACATTTCAAAATTGTTTTAAGTTCTTTTCTTTTTTTTTTTTAACCCCCTCCCCTGTCCCTGCCCCATTCTTAAGTTTCTGTATCTGTAGATTTATTTTACCTGTTTGAACACACGTACTTTCTTTCGTTTTGTGATGTTTATTTTGAGAGAGAGATCACGTGTGTGGATGAGCTGGGGAGGGGCAGAGAGGGAAGAGAAAGAATCCCAAACAGGCTCCGCACTGTCAGCACAGAGCTTGATGCGGGGCTTGAACTCACGAACCATGAGATCATGACCTGAGCCAAACTCAAGAGTTGGCCGCCCAACTGACTGAGCTACCCAGGTGCCCTTGAACACACATCATTTCTGTAACTGCAGTTGACCCTTGAACAACACGAGCTAGGGGCACCAATCCCACCCCCTGCAGAGTCAAAAATCTGAGTACAACTTCTGACTCCCAAAAACTTTACTAATAACTTACCATTGACTGGAAGCCTTACCAATTACATAAACAGTTGATTAGCACATATTTTGTATGTCATATGTATTATATACTTATTATTACAATGAAGTAGGCTAGAAAAATGAAAATGTTACTAAGAAAATCATAAGGAAGAGAAAACACATTTATAGTACTACACTGTATTGAAAAAAATCTGCGTATAAGTGGGCCCATGTGGTTCAAACCCTTGTTCAAGAGTCAACTGTACTATTTTTTCCCATTTAACAGATTACAAATATAACAAAAAGTGGGTTTTTGTTTGTTTGTTTGTTTGTTTATTTATTTATTTTTAAGTAATCTCTATGCCCAATGTGGGGCTCAAACTCCTAAGCCCAAGATCAAGAGTCACATGCTTTACACCGACTAAGCCAGCCAGGTGCCTCTCAGAGAACTGTTCATACATTTTTTACCTTATAATGAAGTTTCAAACATAGTATTTAATAAAACTGATTGAGGGGTGCCTGGGTGGCTCAGTAGGTTAAGCATCCAACTCTCGATTTTGGTTTAGGTCATGGTCTCACAAATTTGCGAGACTAAGGTCCGTTGGGATTCTGTCTCTCTCCCCCTCCCCTGCTCTCTCAAAATAAAAAGACTTAAAAGAAAAAAATAAAAGAAACTGATTGATGGAAAACAATCACTAATTTTTTAAAATTTAGATTATTAAAAATAAGTGGAAAATGCCACCTCAAAAGTATCTGATAGAAATAGAGGGGTGTCTGGGTGGCTCGGTCGGTTGAGCAACCAACTCGTGATTTCAGCTCAGGTCATGATCTCACGGTTCATCAGTTCAAGCCCTGCACTGGGCTCTACGCATTGGATGGTACAGAGCCTGCTTGGGATTCTCTGTGTCCCACTCTCTCTCTGCCTCTCTCTGCCCCTCCTCAGCTTGCGCATGTGCTCACATTCTCTCTCTCTCAAAAATAAACAACAAAAAAAACAACCAAATACAGTATATACTTGTCATATTAATGATAAAAAAATTCTCAGTGAACTTAACAGTATGTGTAGGTTTTAATGTACATGTAGGCATACCATACTTTAATGGATACTTACATCATCACCAGAGAAATATTGATCTATGATTTCAAATGCTAATTTATATATGTCTTCATTTTCATGTTGCTGTAAAACTTCGATTTTCTCCAAACCTGATAAAAACAAAAAATCAAATAATCAAATGGACATGAATAAAAACTGTGTTCATTCTAGTCATGGAAAATCCTAAAGAACTCGCAACACCCTCCCACCACACCCCGAAAATGACAGTTTGTCTAAAACACAGATAAAACTCTGAGCTGCTCTGATTGGAGGACCAGCATCCCACTAATTTCTTCCTCTCTAGAAACCCTTGACCCCAAGGGTTATCTGACAGATGAGGAAGCTATCGTATAGAGATGTAAAGGGGTTTATTTTAGGTTGAGTGGCAAGTTAGTGACAGAACTTGAACTGAGATCTCCCCAGGCTGCTTTAGTGGAATCGTACTATCTCATATAGTAATTTTTATCTTTCCTTTTGTTTTCAAAATGCTATTACTTTTATATAACAACAAAAACATGTTTTCAGAAACTTCATGATTAACTGATATAAATAGAAGACAAAGCTTTAAATTTTGAAATAATTTCTTTGAAGAAAAAAACAAAGAGGGTGCTTATATCCTATAGCCACAATGAAATTGAAAAATAAGTTTTCAGAACTGTAGAATGTCTTCATTTACATTCCCAATATATTTACTCCATGCATCAGATGCACAAGTCTATAACTTTAAATCCTTAACAATATTCTTCCTTGAAATATCTTTTTAGCTAGGTTATTTTGAAATAGTTGCATTTTTTTTCTTTTTAACAGCAATATAAAAAACCAGAAAAATGGGAATATAAGTGTCACAGATAATGGATGTAGAGTTCTTCACAAAATTATAAAATACTAAGTAAACGTGTATCCTAATTGTGAGTATACTTCCCAGAGACCGAAGCAACTATATTGATTAAAGCTGAAGAGTAACAATTCTGCAGCTCAAACTTTCTGGGGTAAGTTCTGAATTAGACTACAATGCTAATTTCAAATTATCTCAAAATATCTTAAAACCAGAATGAGCAGTGAATTAAGAGTATGAGGATCTACTTCCATGGCCATAGACAAAACTTAACATCTCTAGGATAATTTCTTCTTGTTATTAAGAAGATACTTCCAGTCTGAATATTTTATGATGTGACTACATTTACTTTCTCTTAAAAAAAAAAATGAAAGGGGTAATATAACTGTACATAATAGTCAATAAAATATACAAAATAAAACATGACAATAAGGTTTGGGCAACTTAGTACATACTGAACAGGTATCCTTAAAATATGCCTCATATATCATTATCAGAGAAATATTTAATATTTCAAATAAGTTTTTTTATTAAAATTTCAAAGTAACTTCTGTGGTAATAACTTCAGCAGACAGCTCTAGCAATCACAAGACTGAAATAAAATACCTAGATGACTCCAAAATCATTAACCTTTCCAACAACATGGAATAGTATTTCACAAAGTAAGATCTATAGAATAACGTATCAGGTATAATGTGAAGAAAGTGTTTCACTGTCAAGGATTCTAAGAAATTCTGGATTAAATGAAGCTTATAACTTTCTCTATCATAGCAGTTCCCAAGCTTTTGCTCTCGCGCACTGTGACTTCAAGAGGAGTGTTCATGTCACCTAAAAGGCAATGTGACCCTCTAGGAAGGTCACAGAATGACCTTCACAACCAGTTTTCCCCAAGTACGGACTGATGCCTGCTGGAAAACCCTCATGTAATGCTAACTGGTGAATACAGGACAGCAGCATACTTTGATGATGGAGCAGTGTTTCCTGACAGTTTTCTTTCTACTTAGTTGCCTTGAAAGGAACTGATCTTTCAGCATTCCACTGCTCAACTATTTTTCTTCAATGCACTCTTACCTCCACATTCTTCTATTATTTCAGCTATTGTGCTTGCTTCATCACCAGCCATGATCAGAATGTTTTTCAGACCATCTAGAACCACCTGAACAACTTGAGAATCTTTTACAGACAGTAAATTACAGAATGGTGGTATTACATTCTGCTGTACAAGGTACTCAACCTAGGCAACAAGAGAAAAATGTTTATTTATATAATTATCTTTTACCCAAAAAGAACACACTACAGGGATTATGAACAACCAGCAGCTCCTACACATAAAAGAGTAGTGTACTTTCCGATATTAACAATCCTAACAGTTTTTCCAAACTTACCTGATCTTTTCTGCCACTTATCGTTAAGTTGCTAATTGCCCAGGCAGCTTCTTTTTGTGTTCCAAAGTCTCCCTGAAGGTTAAAAAAGAAATGATTGTATGAATTCTTTATTAAAAAATCTTGGTTATAATATGTTAATGTACACTATAAACTCACAATATGACTGACCTTAGCAAGCTGATGAATAATCATAGGAATTAACCCGGCGTCTATTACAGCTTGAACTTGTTGCTGGTTGCCTGCTGTTATGTTGGAAAGGAACCACACTGCTTCCTATAATTGAACAAAATACAGGGTACCTTTGTTTGAAAGATTAGTTTTAATGCATTTATATTTTTATTTTTATGTAGTTTACATAAACTATAACAAAATCACTTGAGTTGCATTAGGGAAATGCATCTAAAAAGCAATGAGATGACACAGAATGTCTCATTTTAAACCCGTTATAAGGAAACTTCCATCCATAACATGTGGGCCCACTAACCTTGCACTGATCCACCCAATAAAACATATGCCTACATCACCCAGGAACTACTTTATTTTATTTATTTTTTAATGTTTATTTATTTATTTTGAGAGAGAGTGAGAATCCCAAGCAGGCTCCGTGCTGTCAGCACACAGCCCAACACGGGGCTTGATCATACAAACTGTGAGATCATAACTTGAGCCAAAATCAAGAGTCAGATCTTTAATCAAGCCACCCAGATGTCCCTAGGCACTATTGTAGACAATGGTAATATGGCAGTGAACAAAAGAGACAAAAAAATCTTTACTCATGCAGCTTACATTTTTTGGTGCTTAAGCTCCCTCTAAAAGATAATGATAGGGGCGCCTGGGTGGCGCAGTCGGTTAAGCGTCCGACTTCAGCCAGGTCACGATCTCGCGGTCTGGGAGTTCGAGCCCCGCGTCGGGCTCTGGGCTGATGGCTCAGAGCCTGGAGCCTGTTTCCGATTCTGTGTCTCCCTCTCTCTCTGCCCCTCCCCCGTTCATGCTCTGTCTCTCTCTGTCCCAAAAATAAATAAAAATCGTTGAAAAAAAAATAAAAAAAAATAAATAAAAGATAATGATATAAATAAGTAAGAGACTCAATTTCCTAAAAGTTTGTTAAAACTATTTCTAAGAAAGGAGAATTGCTTTCTTGTAAAAATATTTACTTGCAAGATATATTTAGAAATTAAGTGTCCAATTATCTGGGATGGGTCTATATAACAAATTTTGCTGTAACCTTTAAGGATTTACAAGTCACAAACACGCAGGTCTACTGCAATTTTAGTGTCAAGTGCTGTCTCTTCTTCCTCTTCTACAGTGAAAAAAGTTAACTGTAAATTTATTTTGCCCAATTGTGGGAAGAGGTTAACAACTGGTAAGTCAGTGTTCACTCTACCATTCTTACAAATTTCTTGTAGGTTTGAAACGTTTTAAACTAATATGCTGAGGGAATAAACCCAAGTTTGATTCTACCTTGAGGGTCCCATGATGATCCCAAGTCCAAGTAACACAAATGCTCAAGGTGAAAAACTTCTAAGGAGACTAAATGGCTGCTGAGGCTGAGTAAACATCTATGTGAACCCTTTGTCCCCCATGATACCTTCACTCAGAGCATATTGGTCACATGCCAGAACTTCTCTACACCCACTTCTGTCCGGCTTCCTCACTTCTCAGCTCTGTTTCCAATTATGGAATACATTTAGCTATAAAAATCCCAAATTATTGAAATTTCTACAGTAAAAGTAACTGGCCCAGAGGCTAAAAGACTCTGGCTTCTTTCCCTTCACTGGAGCAAATGCATTCATAAAATGCACTTTTTCGACAACATACTTTTCTGTAACAATCCAACTGTCAAATTATAGTTGAGCAACTATATAAATACAGCTATGACACAGAAGAAATGATCAGTTCTGCTGGTTTGGGGGATGGTGGCATTTCAGGCAGATAAAACTACATGCAACTAAATGCGAATCAAATCCATGAGACATCATTTCACACCTACTAGAGTGGCTATAATAATTTTAAAAAAGGAACTGGAACCCTCATACAGTGCTTGTGGGAACGTAAAGTGGTACAGCCACTATGGAAAACAATTTGGCAGCTCCTCAAACAGCTAAACACAGAATTACCATACGACTGGGCAGTTCTACTCCTAGATATATGCCCAAAGGAACTGAAAGCTGTGACTCAAATGGACATCTGCATGCCGATGTTCACTGCAACATTATTCACAACAGCCACCAGTAGAAAAACTCCAAGTGTCCACCAACAAATGACTGGATAAACAAAATGTGGTATGTATGTACTATGGAATATTTATTCAGCTATAAAAGGAAATGAAGTTCTGACACATGCTCCAACATGGATGAACCTTAAAAATTGTATGCAATGTGAAATAAGGCAGATACAAAGAGACTGAAGTACTTAAGTATATTTAACAATTAATAATAAGTTTGTATCTAAAGTTGAAATTTTAAAAAAGACTTTTTTGATCCTTCAATTTAGGCACTGCATCTTTTGGTCCAATCTAATTTCATAGGGAGATTAAATTATGATCTGTTTATAAAAGATACCAGCCATCCAGCGAGAGATTTTGTATGGATTCTCACTTCATGGCTACTAATTTACCGATCCTTGCTACTACCCAATTTATTTAAATAAAAACACTGGTTATAACAAAATAACACTTGTAACAAAATAACTGCAGAGGTGATAGGAAATAATTCTCATCATAACTACAGTGCTTGTGAAGAAAATTATGATCAAACAAACAGCAACAGAAAACAAGGGGACAGTTTATACAGACAGAAAGAAATGCACCAATGAGGCTATTATGTGCCTTACCTTATTTATCTTCTCTTTGGGGTGTGATAAGAGATTGGGGAAGTGTGACAGGACATCACAGTTGAGAACAACCTGGGTCTGCTCATCGGTGCCAGTCACTATGTTGCCAACTGCTCTGAGTGCTGCTGTCTGGGGTGGGGATAAAATACTTTCTATACATTTATTTGTTTATGAGGAAACTGACTCTATAGTTTTCATAATCCTGAGAAAACGTAAAAATGCAAGGGGTGAATGATTAGCACTTACTGTATTCTTAGGCAAAGTACTATGTAGAACTGAGAGGCAATTTTGAATTTTAAACAATAGTCATAAAAAATGGAACTACAGAACTATGGAACTACAGAAAAATGTGTGAAAAACTATCGAAAAAATTTTTCAAAAAATTTAAAAAAAAGAAAAATTAACAGGTAAAGGTTCATTTTAACAGCAGCTATTTCTAATCTATTACTAAATGAGTAGCACAGAAATATTTTAATAAAGGCCTGGAATGGGCACACATTTCCATCTAGAAAGTCACTTTGGTAGAAGTGGAATAATCATCTATCAGCCACCCACACCTAACTAAAGTGAGGAGAAATGAGAGAGGAAAAAAATGCAGTTAGGATGCTGTTCTAATTATTTGGACAGAAAAAAAAATGAGTCTTGAACTAAATCAGTGGCTCTAGATACTTAAGGAGTAGACAGATTCATAAGCTATATAATAAGAATTAACAGAGCTTTGTAAATGGAGGGGAAAAGAAAGGAGGAATCAAGATTTGAAGCTTGGACCATGTGGTCTACTGAAAGGAGATATAGAAAGAGGAGCAGGTTTGGGGAAGAAGACGATACACTTTTTGTCTGGTTAAAATGGCAATAGAATGCTTTAAAGGAGTTCTCAGAGGAGACGTCTAAGGGCTCAAGGACAACTGGGTACTAGGAGTCTGAAACTGTGAAGAATCTGGGTGAGATAAAGATTTGGAAACCAACAAAATCAGGTTCAGTAAAACAGAGGAGAAATATGGAAGATATGTACATATGGACCGAACTGAACCCGGGTTGTTCAAGTTAACAGGTTATAGCAAACACAATTTTAAACAAGTTAGAAAAAATTTTTAAATACTTACTTGGACTTTCACTTCCTGGTGGCTCAAAAGGGGCACAAGAAATGGCACAACCCCTGAATCAATAACCATCTGTATCTGCTCATTACCTCCATCTGTCAGGTATGACAGAGCCCAAACAGTATCTACGAGAATCTACAGGAAGTAAAAAAGAATTACAATTCAGTTATTTTTTTGAATGCTTAAAATACATAACTCAGAGGTGGTAACGTAAGAAGTAATTAAACTATGTTTTAGCTTGGTGGCAAAAGTATCTGCTTACTTGATAAATCTACTAAGCAGCAGAGTACTCTCTCAATGCCTACCTCAGATCAATCACTCTTTACAAAAATGAGACATGGAAGTGTGAGACAACTTCTACCCCAACTTATGCATTTATATATCAGATAAATGAATTTAAAAACAAGCAGAAAAGTTGTTCTCTCTGCCCCGCAAACTGAGTACCTAATAATCACAAGGAAACACTTTATATACAGAACAAGACCATATACCAAGCTGCTTCAAGTCTAGAAGAGCCCAAAAAGATCACCTGTCTATACCAGTGGTTTTCATACATGTTTAGCAATATAATTACTTGTTTAGGCTATTAAAATAAACAGATAAAAGAATTAAGTTGGCATTTTAACCTTAGGAAATTATTTGCAAAGCCCTTGAAAAAGGTCCCCAAATGAAGAGCACAGAACATAAACCATGACCCATAGCCATCTGATTTTGCAAATAACAAAAAACAAAAGAACGACTCAGGTTTATTGACTCTTTCAAAGTCAAAGAGGTTATATGTAAGCACAGATCTTATCTCATGTGAAATCCAGAGATGTTTCTTACTAAGGTATGCAAATTAAAGACATTCTGTTGCTTTTAAAATAATGCCACCAGGGGCACCTGGATGACTCAGGTGGTTAAGCATCCAGCTCGATTTCTGATCCCCAGGGTTGTGAGATCAAGCGCTGAGTAGGGCTCTGCACTGAGCATGGAGCCTGCTTAAGATTCTCTCTCTCCCCTCCCCTGTCCTCCCCCATCCCACACCCTCCACTACTCACACTCATACTCTAAAATAAAAACTAAAAATAAAATAATGCCATCTGAATTAAGTCCATCTACATATCTTTCAAGAAGTATATAGATCAATAAAAAGAGCAAATAAAACCACATTTAACCCACACCTTCAGCATTACTAGAAGTCAGAGACTACAAATTTCAAATTACCTGTAAGAAGAGAAAAAATTAAAGTCTAGCTTTTGTCTGGACCTCCTGCCCCAGGCCTGTGTAAGATTTCAAAGAAGAGGAGTGGTAAGGAGAGTTAAGTGTTTAAAACTACCCCATATTAGTGGGACAGAGACCATGTGGCCCCAAAAGCCTACAATATATACTATCTGTCCTTTTCAGAAAAAGCTGCTGACACCTTCTTCGTTAGATGATGAGCTTCATTCAACTAAGAGATGCTTGAGGAAATAGATCATTACAGATCACAAACAAAAGTGGAAGTAAGAGTAGAAGAAAAACTTATAAATGGTATTTATTCTGAAAAAACAGAAATATTGCAACTTCAAGAATGGGACAGAAGGAAGTTGTGCATGAGAGCCGAGCCCACCTACCATCCCACCCCAGCACTAAGGCCTCCCTACTAAAGGGTATCTGCAGACGTGGTGTGTGTGAACAAAGCCTGTCTACTGCCCAGTGTGGCAATAGCAGGTAACAAGACTTAAATAGAACTTGTAGTCACATAACAGAACACCCAAAATGTGCAGGCTTACAAGTGAAAACAACTTGTCATACCAGTAACATCTCAAACTCAAAAGGGAAAAGACAGTCAACAGATGTCAATGCTGAGATGACAGAGATATTGAAATTCTCTGACAAAGATTTGAAAGTAACTATCATAAAAATACTTCAGCAAACAATTGTGAACATATTTAAAACAACTAAATATAGGAAATCTCAGCAAAGAAACACGCCATAAAGAAGAACCAAACAAATTTTTAAAAAAAGTTTTTGTTTATTTTGAGAGAAAAGAGAGAAAGTACGAGCAGGGGAGGACAGAAAAAGAGGGGAGAGTGAGAATCCCAAGCAGGCTCTGCGTTTCTAGTGCAGAGCCCAACATGAGGTTCAAACTCCCGAGATCATGACTTGAGCCACAGTCAGAGACTTAACCAACTGATCCACCCTCGTGTGCCCCAAACAGAACATTTTAAACTAAAAAATTCAGTAATCCAAATTTAAAACTCACTGGAAATACTCCCTAGTGAAATGGAGAAAGAAAAAAAACAATCAACAAACTCAAAGATCAATACAAATCATCCAATCTGTGTAACAGGAAAACAAACATCAAAAAAGATTGCAAAGAGGGGGCTCCTGGGTGGCTCAGTCAGCTAAGGCTAAGTGTCTGAGTCTTTGTTTCAGCTCAGGTCATGATCTCAGGGGTGGTCGGGTGGTCACTGTGGAATCGAGTCCAGCGTCAGCCTCTCTGTCTCTGCCCTTCCCCCACTAGTGCTCTGTCTTTCTCAAAATAAATAAATATTTAAAAAAGATTGCATAAAACCAATGGAGATACCACCTCACACCAGTCACAGTGGCTAAAATTTACAACTCAGGAAACAACAGACGTTGGTGAGGATGTGGAGAAAGGGGAACCCTCTTGCACTGTTGGTGGGAATGCAAACTGGTGCAGCCGCTCTGGAAAACAGTATAGAGGTTCCTCAAAAAATTAAAAATAGAACTACCCTACGACCCAGCAATAGTACTACTAGGAATTTATCCAAAGGGTACAGGAGTGCTGATTCACAGGGGCCCATGTACCCCAATGTTTATAGCAGTACTTTCAACAACAAATCATGGAAAGAGCCCATATGTCCATCAACTGATGAATGGATAAAGAAGATGTGGTTTATATAGACAATGGAATACTACTTGGCAATGAGAAAGAATGAAATCTTGCCATTTGCAACAGTGTGAATGGAAATGGAGGGTATTATGCTAAGTGAAATATGTCAGTCAAAGAAAGACAAGTATCGTATGTTTTCACTCATATGTGGAACTTGAGAAACTTAACAGAAGACCATGGGGAAGGGAGGGAGAAAAAACAGTTTCAAACAGAGAGGGAGGCAAACCATAAGAGACTCTTTAATACAGAAAACAAACCATAAAGGTCGATAGTGGGGGAGAGGGGAAAACGGGTGATGGGCATTGAGGAGGGCACCTGTTGGGATGAGCACTAGGTGTTGTATGTAATCAGTGAATCACGGGAATTGATTCCTGAAACCAAGAGCATAATGTATACACTCTATGTTAGTTAACTTGACAATAATGTAAATAAAAAAAAAAAAAATCACAGGGGCGCCTGGGTGGCTCAGTTGGTTAAGAATCCGACTTCAGGTCATGATCTCGCAGTCTGTGAGTTTGAGTCCCGCGTTGGGCTCTGTGCTGACAGCTCAGAGCCTGGAGCCTGTTTCGGATTCTATGTCTCCCTCTCTCTGACCCTCCCCCGTTCATGCTCTGTCTCTCTCTGTCTCAAAAATAAATGTTAAAAAAAATTTTTTTAAATCACAAAGAAATACAGAGAGTTTCAGAGATCTGTAGAACAATAACAGAAGATCTAACATTTCTGTCATCAGAGTCGCAGAAGGAGAGTGAAGCTGAAAAAATATTTTAAGAAATAATGGCAGAAAATATCCTAAATTTGGCAAAAGACATGAGCCTAAAGATTCAAAAATGGGAGGATGAGGCAAGACAACAGAGAAAACAGAATAAGCTCATCAATTATTGTATAGGTATTAGATACTAGTCAAAAAATACTATCTGCCAAACCAGATAGTAAAAGAAAAGGGCATTATAAAAGGTATAAATAAAAAGGTAATATTAGAACAAAATGAACCTTCCTAAATAACAAAATAAATGAAAAAAAAAGCACACCAAATAAAAAATAAAACACACACAAAATATCATACAAAATGTGACTGAGCTAAAACCAAACATATCAAACAATGTGAACAAGCTTAACTCACCTATAAACCAGAAAAAGGTTCTTAAATTGGCTCCCAAAACAGAACCGAACTCTCTGCTGTATACAAGAGACACAACTAAAATTAAGTAATTCAACAAGGCTAAAAATTAAAAGAATGAGAAAAAAGAATGTTTACACCAAGTAAACATTCAGAAAACAGAGACTATAATCATGTTAGTAGACCAGAACTTAGGCTAAAAAGCATTACAAAGAACAAATAATGCTGCTTTATAAAGCTAAATCCTACAATTTACAGTAAAGACATAACAGTTATAAAATCTACCCACCAAATAACCCTGCAAACACAATTACAAAGCAGAAACTAAAAGGATGCGAGACAAAAATATAAGAATAAATGAGTAATGTATTTTCACACACGACAGATTTTCAGTATGAGAGAAGTAGATAAAAAATGAGGACACAGATCTTATGAATATATATTGAAATTTATACCTTGCTAATAGATAATATAACATGCATATGGAGCATAAAAATCATGTTAGTTCCAAAGAAAACATCAATAAATTACATAAAGCAGAAATACTATAAAACTATTCCAATACAAAAAGTTAGATAGACATTAATAAAATAAAAACCAAAAAGACTTCTGTTATGGAAATTTAAGAGCCATATAACAAACAACACTTGGATGAAAGAGAAAATACCAAAAAAACTAAATTTTGAAAAAATTACAAGGAAAACACCACATACTAGAAAATAATGGATGTATGTAAAGCAGTGATCAAAGGAAAGTTCATATTCCTACAAATTTACATAACACAACTAAAAGGATGCAAATAAATAAATCCCAAATCAAGAGCTAGAAAAAGAACAGTAAATAGTACATGGAAGTAGAGTTGAAATCTAGATGAAATGAGTAACTTCTTAGGGCAATAGTTAATAAAAACTGATCTCGGAAGACACAGAGAGCTTAAGCAAGTCAATTTCCATAGCAAAGACAGAGAAAATTATCAAGGAACTAACCCCACAAAGTACGAAGACTCAAAAATTTCAAGGGCAAAACTACCAAGTCTTCAAAGATGGGAGAGCCCCCAATGCTATATATATTGTTTCAGAGCATAAAAAATAAAGGAAGCACAATGTTAATACCTAAACTTTACAAAAGCAATAAAAA